TTACACGTGTGTTTTGAAACTGCCAATTTGTCCCAAGCCCTTCAGAAAAAGTCCTTGAAAAAATAATCTACTCCAAAAAGTTATTTAAAATTCTAAATTTTTCCTCGAAAAAGCTCCATATTATTCCCCTCTCTAACTTGTATTCTTATCTAGAGCCCGATTGGTCATGAATTTTTTGTTTTCGACTTTTTATTATTTTTTTGAAATTAACGTTTGACCATATAATTTTCAATTTTCACTTGAAGATGAATTTTGAATTTTTTAAAAATTCAAAAAAGTTATTTTCAAAATTTTCACTCAGATTACTCACAAAAATTTAAAACAATCCAAAATTATATTCATGTCCAATCACAACTCAAATTTTTAAATATCATATTCACTTGAAATTTTTTTTTCTTCACTTTTTTTGAAATTTTACAATTCTTATGTCCAAACGCCCACCTGGTTTGGTCAATGATTATTACGTTCAGCAACTGTAGTATTATATATAAAAATAAAAAAAGAACAATAATATATATATATACACACACATTATATCTATTTAAATAAAGTTTCTCTCGATTAAATATCAAAATATTTATTCCCTCACAGCATATAATTTTATGCACCAACGAATGTTAGTAATATATATATTTTTTTTCGTTCTCATAATCAACTCTCAAAGAGAAAATTCCAAAATTTATTTAATATAAAACGTAATATTCAATGGTATCTGCTAAGAATTTTGGTGGGGTACGTGTATACCTAACAAGAACTGGGAAAAAAATAACATATTTCATTTTCAAAATGATCTAATATGCCAAAAATAATATTAGGTTGCCAGCATCATTCTGTTTCTTTCTAATTAGCCAACAAATATAAAAGTTGGAAGTTGTAGGTTGTAATCTTTTGGCTCCACCATTATTCATGCAGACAACTGACTTACCAACTATTATTATACCAAACCTTATTATAAACCTAATATATTTATTGAAAATGACCACTCATATGTCTTAACAAACAGGATTTTTCTTTTTTGTTCTTTCTCTAATTCTTTCAATAATTGTACAAAAATAAAAACAACAATGAAAATAAACCGTCAATCGTGAAATTTGAGGTTTTATATATTTGTTCTTTCGATTATTGCACTAAGTTCTTATTACCTCCATTAGTACATGTATTAGGTGACACTATACACCAGACTTTGGACAATGAAAAAAATACTGTAAAGTAAAGGGAAAATAATAAATATAAAATACTAGAGTTGCATGATTAAAGTATCTCACCAAACGGCCTAGATGTTGATGTCAGTATCAGCTAACTAATAAAGGTCACTAATTATCTTCTAATATACTTTCCATAAAAAGTCCAATTACATCACACTAAGATACTATAAAGTATTGCGCCTNGGAGGAAGTACACGGTTAGTCACTAATAACACATGTATTTACTTTTAAGTCACTGTTTAAAATGTTTTTAGTCTTTAGCCACTGCTTTAATAAACTTTAACTGTCCGGACGAAAATACCCTTCTGCTCATGTCCTTAACTTTTGAGCTTAACTTCAGGACATTAGGATTACATGTCCTTAACTTTTGAACTTGTAACTCTAAGTTTAGGACTTCAGGACTACATGTCCTTAACTTTTGAACTTAACTTCAGGAATTGAGGACTACATGTCCTTAACTTTTGAACTTGTAACTGTAAGTTCAGGACCAAGTGTCCTTAACTTTTGAGCTTGTTAGTCTAAGTGCAAGACATATTGTCCTTAACTTTTGGGCTTCTTAGCCTAAGTTTAAGACCAATTATCCTTAACTTTTGAGTTTGTTAGTCTAAATTCAGGACTTCAGGACCTATTGTCCTTACTTTTGAACTTGTAACTGTAAGTTCAGGACCTATTGTTCTTAACTTTTGGGCTTCTTAGCCTAAGTTCATGACCTATTGTCCTTAACTTTTGAGCTTGTACCAATAGATCCTTCTTATTTGATTGATTCACATTTTCATCGTCATCACTGTCATCCTCATCAAAAGGCTTTTCCTTGTGAAATATACAGCAAATCTTAGAGCTTTTCTTGTTGAGGAACTCGTTATCCACTGTACCTGGCTTCCATGAAACGCTCTTCTTCTTCAGTTTCAGTTTCAGAGTTAGGGTTTCTGTTGTATGTTGCTGATGCTATTCGGACGATGATGATGAAGAGGATTGCGATGAGTTGTTTAGGGTTAAGGTTATTGTTGTTGTTGTTGTTGTTCCGGTGGTCGCCGGTAATGGTGATTGTCTTGCGCTTCTCGCCATTATCGGGGCTCCGGTTCTATAGAAAAAAGGGTAAAAATGTCTTTACATATTAATTTTAATAGAGTAGTGGCTATTTTTGCTCAACATTAGGATTGCCAGATAAAAAATAAATACCACCTTAAATAGTGGCTATCCCACGCCATTTCTTCTCCTATCTCTGATCTCTCCCAGGGAAACCAATAGAGCAGGTTGCATAATTCTAAGAGAAATATTCGGGGTATTATCACTTTTCGCCTGCGCCAGAAACTATTTATATTAGTTAGTCGAAAAAGTGTATAGAATTTATATAATTTTTATATATAACATACAAAATGTATATATACAAAAAATATATATTTTTTGGGCTATTATTTTGAGAGCGGCTACACAATATCATTTTCCCGAAATAAATTATCTCTTTATTTTGGTATTGTGATTCAATTTTATTTTCTTTTTGCTAAATCTGGCTCATAATTCAATAGTCCATGTTACGCACTGTACAAATAGTTGGTAGTATAAGTTTGTTTTTGGTGTTAGATGAAAAAAGATCAGTCCATATCACCAACCGGTTTTTATTTTTTATATTTATAAGATAATATAAAGAATGATGATCTCCATCCCACCTAAATGTTAAATGGGAACTAAGGAAATCAATCTAACCACTAGACTCTGAACACCAGATTTTCAAATGAAAACTTTTTCTATCTTAAATTTGTACTAATAGTTTATAATTCTCTCCTCATTAAGCTTATCATCTTTTCCAGAACTGAAAGGGAAATCACGGACTCGTTTTTAAATTCTCCACTTAGTAATTTCATATTTCTTATATATTGTTGTTATTTTTATTACGCATTTTTATGGTACTAATATATCATCTCCTGTTGCTTTTTTGAGCCGAGGGTCTCCTGGAAACAGCCTCTCTACCCTTCGGGGTAGGGGTAAGGTCTGCGTACATATTACCCTCCCCAGACCCCACTTGTGGAATTATACTGGGTCGTTGTTGTTGTAAGTTTTCCAACTTCTTATACTTTCTTCTAATTAGTATTTCTGTTTTTTTAGTTTTATAGACTAAGAAGATGGAACTTCAGAAAATTTCTCGGTGTGCAACTCCGGGGGATACGACTTCCTTCTTTTAGGCCTACTTGGCGATTGCATAGGTAAAGGGTTCAAAATGCTCCTAAACTATTGAAAAAAGGTTTAAAAATATCGTTCATCCATCTATTGGGATAAAAATACTCATTCATCCACCTTTTTCGTTCACTTATGCCCTTTGACCGTTAGGTTAATGCTGAATTAAAAATAATTACTTAAAAAAATATTTTGCAAAATATTTTTGTTTTTTTAAACTAATGCACCAATAGTCCACTAATTTAATAAAGTCTTTTTTTCCAGTTTTTACAAAAAACAATTCCATTTTACAAAAAAAAATTTTTTTTTTCATTTTTTCCAATTTTTTTTGTAAAAAACAGAAAAATTGTAAAAACAGAAAAAAATTGTTTTTAATAAAATATTTTCGTTTTTCAAAAACTGAAAAAATATTTTCAACAAAATAATTTCGTTTTTGAAAAATATTTTTTTTTCAGTTTTTTTAAAGAATTTTTTTTGTAAAAACTGGAAAATACAAATTTGTAAAAACTGAAAAAACTATTTTCGTTTTTTAACAAAATATTTTTTTTTTAAAAAACTGAAAAAACTAAAAAAAATATTTTTCAAAAACGAAAATATTTTTTCCAGTTTTTAAAAAACGAGAATAATTTTGTTAAAAATAATTTTTTTTCTATTTACAATTTTTTTTCAGTCTTTGCAAAAAAATGCTTTAAAAAAACTAAAAAAAATGGATTTTTTTTTTTTTTTGTAAAAACTGAATTGTTTTATTTTTTTTAAAACTGAAAAAAGAAGACTTTACTAAATTAGTAGACTACTTGTGCATTAGTTTAAAAAAACAAAAATACTTTGCAAAATATATTTTTTAAGTAATTACTTTTAATTCAGCATTGACCTAACAATCAAAGGGTATAAGTGAACTAAAAAGGTGGATGAAGAGATATTTTTAGCCCAATAAATAGATGAAGGGTATTTTTAAACTTTTTCCAATATGATAAGTATAATTCCTATGAGACTTTGATTGCAGAGGTAAATATGATAAGTATATACAAAGTCATGAGTTCGAACTCTGAGAAAGATGGTAAGGAGAATTTTACCGCCTCCATCGACAGGGAAAAATAAAAAATAACCTGATTTACAATTGCTAATTGAAAATTAGCCATAATTTCGAAAGTAATTAAAATTTAGCCACTTTTTTCATGTAAAAATACAATCTAAACGAAAACACCTTTAAAAATCTGGAAACCTAGAATTCGATTATATATATACACACACAAATATATGATATTACAACATAATATGTTGGAAGTTTATACGCAGTGGCTCCATAATCCAACATATTATGCTAGAACGTTTCATGTTTCAACTATTTCTCCAGATTTTATCTCAGCATAAAAGAACAACTATTTTTAATGACTTTGCAAATGCTGGTTATTTTTTAATTACTAGTCCAAAAACTGCCAAACTCATGCTATTTTCACTCCATGGACCTACTCGGCCAATATCGAGTGACAAGAGAAAAAAGAAAAAAGAAAATATCACCTCCATTGTAGCCATAGACCTACAACACCAAAAAACAAGTTTGTACAAAATTTGTTCTATATCAACATATACTAGTACAATTCAGATGGCAAGGACAAAGGCAAGTTGTTAAAAGGTCACTTTACTATTGCTGGGAGTTCACGAGCAATTAGGTCAATTTCACATCTAATATGGAATTAGTGTATAAAACATGAGTGTCATTTTCTTCATCACACCAGTTCATGTGTACCCTGCCCTATCCTCTACCCAAAACACCCGACAAAAGGGTAAAGAATCTAAAACTTAGAAATTCAAAAGAAAAAAAAGGAGTAAATTACTACATTCATGTCCTATTAATCAACACCTCAAAGTTTTTTCTCCAATACATGTTCCAACTGCACACTTAGCACAATCCAGCAACAAATAATCTACCATGGCTTTGACTTAGCCAATCACCAGAAGCCACCAGAAGACCATTGGCTAGTTAGGACAAATAACGCAAGCCAAAGCTCACTCCCCCCTATCATCAGCAAGAAGCAGCAAACTTTATGCTCAATTCATCATGCCCCCTTTTTGATACAAATCTTCAACCTAGCTTTCATGGATCTCATTGTCAAAGCAAGGTTGAAGATAACTCCCTCCGGTATCACATGTAATTTGTCATTCTCTCTAGGGAACTTCTACACTTTCATTAGATGTAGACTTGTTTGTATTTGGAAGATAATCCTCCAACTCAAAATCTTGGTAGAATTAGGTTTACATGTGTTTTTTTGTATGGTTGACCTAGATTTACTTCACTCGGATTTTGCACATCTAATTGATTATCAATGTTTGATAGTCAACTGGATCATCATCATAGGTCCAATTCCAGGTTCTCTCTGGTCATTATGTTTACATGACCAGGTGCCTATGTATTATATTTTTGGAGGTCAGGTTTATGTCCCCCTCCTATGTTGTACTTCGCTTATTATTTATGAAAATCAACCCTAGGCACAATGCCTAGTGGATTCAACTAAAACAAAAAAAAAATACATGTTCCAAGTTTCCTCCAAAACCCCTATAGCTTATTTATGTCTGTTTAGCACAAATTTACCTGTATCATTCAAAACTATGACACTGAACAAAAGGTTGGTCTTCGAGGGGAAACAAAGGGTTCAACTTCTTGATTTATGTCAAGGTGGCCTCAAGCAGTAATCACTGAATTCATCTCAGCAAGACAACGGCTATATGTTTGGTGGTCAGTAGTGCTATTGAACCCAGGAATGAAGTCTGAGAAAAATCTAAGAACTGCAGCCAGGTGTTGCGAGTCATTAGAAGCATAAGCTGCTTCAAGAAACAATGAAGGCTGAACAGTATTCACCTGAATAAAACTCAATTATGTCAGAATCCTCAGTTGTACAAGAACTTTTTTCTCAAGTTTGTATAGAGTAAAATCACAACAGAAACGGAAGATAAAGCCCAGCCAGAAAGCAAATAATATTGGCACATTACTGAAACAGTGTAATCAATAGATGTAAAGTACAGTTGAAGTGGTCAGGCAGGAGTAGTTCTAATCTCAACAAACCAATACTATATCCAAAATTGGCATCAAGTACAGAAGACTTAAAAGAATGGAACCTTCAGGCTTTCGCACATGTAAACTTAGCATGCACATATAAAAGAGCTGAACTCAAGGTTTTTTTTTTATCTTTATTATTCTAGTTCTTTGGCAGGATTGACGGTTAGGTTTTGGAATGTAACGACCCGACCAATCGTTTTGAGCTATAGCGCGTCGTTCAGCAGTTTGAGGCCATGAGCAGCTTCACTTCAGGTATTATGACTTGTACGCATGGTCGAAAATGAATTCCGGGAAGTTCGGAGTTGATTTGGAAAAGAGAATTCTCATTTCGGAAGCTTTAAGTTGAAAGAATTAACTAAGACTGAATTTTTGAGTAAACAACCTTGGAATTGGGATTCGAAGGTTCCAGCAGGTTCGTATGATGATTTCGGACTTGGGCGTATGTCTGGACCGGGTTTTGGAAGACCCGGGAACGTTTCGGCACCGATTGTGGAAGATAGCATTTTGGAAGAATTTCATAAGTTTGGGTTGAAGTGCATTTCAGTGTTATCAATGTCCGTTTGGGATTCCGAGTCTGGGAATAGCTCCGTATGGTGATTCTGGTGTTGGGAGCGCGATGGAAGTGAAGTCGGAGGTCCGTGGGTCATTTTGGAGTCATTCGGCTACAGATAGAAATTTGAAGGTTTTCGAGAAGTTTGACCGGAAGTGGACTTTTTAATATCGGGGACGGAATCCAATTCCGAAAGTTGGAGTACGTCCGTAATGTCGAATGTGATTGTGTGCAAAATTTGAGGTCAATCGGACGTGATTTGATCGGTTTCGACATTGAACGTAGAAGTTTGAAATTTTAAAGTTCATTAAGCTTGAATTGGAGCGTAATTCATGATTTCGATGTTGTTTGATATGATTTGAGGCCTCGAGCAGGTTTGTGTCATGTTATGGGACTGGTTGGTTTGATTGGACGGGGTCTCGGGGGCCTCGGGTTTGTTTCGGGGTGGTTTCGGATCATTTCGGGATGTTTTGCTATAGCTGTTGCTGGTGTCTGGTGTTGTTCTTCGCGTTCGTGAGGATACTCTCGCGCTCGCGAAGAAGGTTTGGGCTTCAGGGATTTTGTCCTTCGTGTTCGCGAAGAAGAAAATCTCTGTTGCGCAGGTCTGACTTCGGAGGCTCATATCTCACAATCTATAAGGAATTTGGAGATAATCCAAAAATGAAAGTTGTAGCCCTTTGTGTCTAGTTTTCAGAAATGTAAACCATTTAGCATTTGGATTTGTGTACCAAAAGTTATGGCTGGTACACTACAGGCTGTCCGGGAAGATGAAGAAATTTGTGTTGCACATGGCTGAATTTGGAGGCTTATATCTCAAAATCTATAAGGAATTGGGAGATGACCAAATCATGAAAGTTGTAGATCTTGGTGTCTAGTTTTCAAAAAGTTAAACCATTTGTCATTTGGAGTTTTGTACAAAAAGTTATGGCCATTATACTAGAGGATGTCTAAGAAGAGTTTGGAAAAATGATTTTTGGGAATTTTCTTCTTCGCGAACGCGAAGAAGAGTCGTCTGGGCAGTGTATAAGTGTAAAGAAATGGGTTTGGCTCATTTCATCTCATTTCCTCCATGGGAGCCGACCTAGGAGCGATTTTGGAGCTCCATTTTCATCATCCATGTCAAGGTAAGTGATTCTCACCTATTGCAAGTTAATTACTTGGATTATATCTAGATTTTAACATGGAAAATCATGTAAATTAGTGGAAATTTTGGGATTTTGAAGAAAACCTAGGAAATTTGTATTCTTGGATTTTGACTACGATTTTTGGACATGAAATTGAGAGCCAATTATATATTTGCGTTCGTGAGGTTGTGGTGAAATTTATCTTCGGAAAAATTCAGAATCCGGGCACGTGGGCCCGAGGGCGATTTTGTCAACTTTTCGAGCGGAGTTGGGATTTTATATAAATTGAATTGTTATGAGTATTAGGGTGTATTTTCATTGGTTTGCCCGTTATTTGGCTAGTTTTGGAGCGTTGGGGCATCGGTTTGAATCGTCAGAAGGAGCTTGGAAACCGGTTATTGGACTTCGGAGCGAGGTGAGTCTCCTTTCTAACCTTGTAAGAGGGAATTGTCCCCATAGGTGAATTAATTGGATATGTGCTCCAATTTGCCGGGGCTACGTACGCACGAGGTGACGAGAGTCCGTGCGTAGCTACTATTATGCTTAAGTCCGGGTAGTCTAGGGCCCAACAACATGCTTCACTTGTAATATTGCAACCTTGTTGTCAACTTAAAAATGCTTAAAACATATCGAACGTATAAATAAATTTTTAAAAGGCTAGACATCATTTCTTGACTTTTAAAAGAGAAGCTTGCCTTTTCCTGAATAATTGCTCCTTTATAAATTCTTGATTTGATTGTTTGAATGTGTTTATCTATTGTGGAACGGGCCGAACGCCTCGGTAGATTAAATAGATGCATCTATGGTTCGCGCCATTTGACCCTCGGGCAGTGCACATTTTAAATATTGTTGGATCGGGTCGTACGACCTCGACATGATTTGCGCATGCTTGTATTGCTTGCCTTGAGATTTATAGAAATTGATATTTGCTCTCCCTGACTTGAGATAAATTGATAATTAATAGGTTATGAATTCGGAGACTTTTAATATAAAAAGGAACGTTTACCTATTTCGTGACTTATTTGAATTTACTGCCGTTTTTAATAAATCCCTGATTATTCGTATTAATAATATATTACTATTGGACCACTAGTAAGTGTCGAAGTCGACTCTCGTCTCTACTTCTTCGAGATTAGACGGGATACTCGCTGGGTACACGTTGTTTTCGTACTCATACTACACTTGCTGTGCATTTTGTTGCACAGGTTCATGTGTGGCTGGTGACTTAGTGGCATAGCGGCATGGTTGATACGGAGACTTAGGTGAGCTGCATTTATCAAGACGACCCGCAACCAGCAGAGTCCCCTTTAGAGTACTGTACTGTATTTTATTTCTGTCCATTTTGTATTCCGGACAGTTACTGTATTTTATTTCATTCCTAATAAATGCTCATGCACTTGTGACACCGGGTTCTGGGATAATTATTGGGTATTCTTTTATTTACCTTGTAAGGATTATCTTTTACTAGTAGAATTGAAGGAAAATCATAGCTTTCAAAATTATTAAAACGAGAATTTAATTAAGTATTTTGGTTGCTTTGCCTGACAGCGGTGTCCGGCACCATCACGACCCTTAGTGGATTTTGGGTCGTGACAACATGGTATCACAGCACTAGGTTCCCTTAGGTCTCACGAGTCATGAGCGAGTCTAGTAGTGTCTTGCGGATTGGTACGGAGACGTCTGTACTTATCTTCGAGAGGCTACAGGATTGTTCGGAGCACTTCCCTTCTTGATTCCTCATCGTGCGATTTGATTCTTTGAGGCTTATGCCCTTGCTTCCTTCCTACTCAATCTTATGCGACGTGAAGCGCTTGTCATAAATCGAGAATTGAATAATTGTATTGGTACCACAGATGTGATGCGGGATGTTTCTCCCGGTATAGTTGATTGGGCTATTGTCGTCGCCTTGCGGAAGGATATCTTGTCATTTCAGCTCAGTAGCTGTACTTCTGGGAGCTTTGAGTCCATGCACAGGTTGCTTTGATGCTCATGAATGATTATCACACAGTAGTGACGTGATGGTAGGATGCATGTCCATGTGTCGGGGCAGTGAATGACTTGGAATGAGGTTTGCACAGTGCATGGTTCCGAGATTCAGTATCTTATTTTCGGAGGGGAAAAGCAATTGGCTTATGAATGCCCAGATTTAGGTAGAGGAAGTAACGAGACTTGGTATTTTCGAGCGTGGTGGAATTTTCATCAGCGATGTAGTGTCGTCGTCCTCAATTGTATGTGTTAAGTTCGCCGATGTTATGGTCTTCTGCAATTCGCCTTTGGGGCAAGATATTGTGAAATAATATTGGAGAAACGGTTGTCAGAGATCGCGGGGTGCGGTGGTTCAGGATTGAATCGGTGTTTCTAATGTTGACGGTCCGAGAAAGATGATCTTCGGAAAGGTTTAAAGTTAGTAGCGATTTGTGGGTTCAAGTGCTACGAAGATATATTTTATTTAGGGCAACAACTGAGCAACAAAGGAAGAGGAAGGACATGTGGGAGTGTCAGGCGGTGGTTAAAATTTCTAGAAGGTCAGATATAAGAAGCGAAGGTCGAGTAGTTGATTAAAGGAGTGAGTTCCGCCAAAGTGGGAGAGTGGCGGAGTTGCATATAGGTTTTGTGATAGGATGACAACACACCTTAAGGAAAGTTTTGAATGATTTAGGGATTTTAGCGGTCGATGATTGGGTCTAGGGATTTAATTTGAAGTATTGGCTGTTATGCGGTGGAGATTGGATATGACGGAAAGGAGCTGTTCGATATGGAGAAGGATACAACATAATTTTGAATCGGAAGATATTGTCGCACATTCGGTTGATGTCCACAAGGAGTGAATGGACTTGTGCAGCTGGTAAATGAGCACGGGCTCAGGTGGGTTATTTCCTGTGAGCAGATCAACGGTCGCATGGTTGGCGAAGCTCCTGCGAAGGATTTTGCTGGCTATCCGGTAAGAGGTCGAATATGTGAATATCGCTAGAGATTTAGAGTATTCATGAAATATTAACGGAATGATTTCAAGGAATCTGGCGGTTTGATTGCGCAAGGTCATGTCAATAAGAGAGAAAGGATCTTAATGGATTCCAGAGTTGTGTAATAGTGGCTTCAAGCTAAGTGGGAGAGTCTCACCGCCTACG